CACGTTGACTGGGCCCCATTTGAAATTATCTGAAGTATTTATCTGATTATATCTGAATTTAATTGAAACCATACGAGCGAGCAGGAGCGTCTGTTTGTGGGCGGGGCCTGCTGGAGCAGAGAGGGAGGGGAGAGGAGGAGCTGAGGGGAACACTGGTTGGGAGGGGTGGAGTTTACATTTAAGATGTCTCCCCAAAACTGGCACTCCCTCAGATCCTGACTACCCCACCTTTAAGAGTGATAGAGCACATGACACATGGTGGATTTAATGACCACACCAAAGCAATACATTAAGTGTATACCTTGAATGAAGCAGTCGTGATGTATTGAAGGAAACTAAACCTGCTTTGTTCAGATCAAAAAGGACGCCGCATCTAATAAAGCACTTTGCAAGCAATACCAAAGCCATTACCCATAATGCCAAAGTCTCTTCTAAAGTACCTTCTGACTGAAGTTTTCCAATACTTTAATTAGGACAAAAAGCTTCAATGTCTATGGGGTCTCAGTGAAGGAGGAGTCTTTTTGCTGTTGTTACGACCTGTGTCTGTTTTTGTAGTTTTGGCTGTTACTCCTGCTGATTATGAGAGCATATAACCAGCTAGGTTCAGCACTGTGATCGGAGGAAGCAGGGAAAAACACCACCCACTGTTTAACTGGTTATTAAAGGGTCTTTTTTTTCACCCTTAAAGGCATAAACAGCTTATTACACACAGGAAATACATTATGTTTACTTTCTTCAATGCTGATATGGTGCAATCTGCCATAAAACGTTTGGCACAGTTATAAACGTTTTAGTTTTAACATTTCGGGAAAGCTCGTTTTTTTAAAGAGGTGGAAACTCCACAGGAATTGGCAGCAGAACTCTGTTTAAGATGTGTAATTAAAAAAGGATCTCAAAGGTTATGACTTAATAAAAGGGGGCCACTCTTGTTTTTCCTTGATTATTAAGATATTCATTCAAACTAAGATTTACAATTTCAACTCATTCTGTCCACATTCACACTTCTACACTTACTCCAGTAGATCAATTAAATGCTGCATGCTCTCTGAAAGGTCATGGTTGCTTTTGGATGGAATAATTGTTTAACTCCTGATGAAAAAGTCAGAGATGAAAAAGTCTTTCGTACCTACAAAGGTGCAGGTCCTCACTCCGGAGGCTGCCGTGTTGCACTGCCATGTTTTCTAATGTAGCTCAGGATGGACAAACTAGCAGGAACCATGATTTGTTCATTCTTGAGTGGCGGCCATTCTACTCCACTGTATTTAAGAAATGTTGACCAAAATAATGAAACACTCATAATCAATCTGTCTGAGCTGGCTATATACACAAGGTAACTTAAAACATCACCATCTCATCACCTGAAACAGTTGAAATACTTGCGTTAAGTGTTGAAATATTTGTTGTTTCCATCCCACATAACCAGTAGTTGTCAATAAGCTCTCTGGTGTGCTTGCCAGAAATATCCTCTAGTGCTGGCAGTATGTACAGCCAAGTATGTGAAAGATTACCCTCATGACACAGCCGGTTGTGAATGTAAACACAAAGTTAGAAAACAAATATGGCTCATTTCCTGCCAGGATTAATTAATTTTGGTTCCCCACATATTCTATAACACTTCTATACTTATCAAAAATGCATGTAAAGGGAGAAACGCTTAAACTACCGAGCAATAATGCTGATTCTATTACAAAAATGCAAACAGATCTGACCCACTGAGCCACAGACGGCTATTAGACGCCTAGGTTTTTTTTAGACCTAATTTCAACCGTCTAGATTCTGTATATTTTTAGACAGAATTTAGATGTTGCACTTTAACCCATTATTGGATAACTATTTATTTAAAAAAGCTACTGTGAGTTGCATAACTGATCTCAAAGTACTTAAAAATAATTATGATAGCTGTTGAGAAATATACAGCAAACGTCTATTAGAGCTCTTTTAGACCAAAAAAAGGCTCAGTGGGGAGTCGTTTCAAGAATTGGTGTAATTATCGTGTCTTTTTCCATTTATCAGCGTTTAAACAAGTGAAAGAGAGTCTGCAGAATTTCATCATCAATCCTGTTATTTTATGTCAAACTCAGTATATTTTCCTTTTGTCAGCTCATTATTTCCTCTACAGGTGATATAATGCAGGATCCAGCCGCGATCAATCACTCCTGATAAACCAGGACCATACAGTCACTCATCTCAAAGGAGATCTTATATTTTAAACATCATTATACATAATGCACAGGGATCATGTATTTTTAAACTTTAACCTCCAACACACGGCGATGGTTCTCTGTAGCCGAGTGTCACTCATATAAACCAGCTAGTTGCTTGCATTTCACACTCCTCACATACTGTATCAAAAATAATAAGCGATGATACACAAAGGAAGAAAGATGGAGAGATGAAGGAAGGCAATAAACAATTTGATGTCTCTGGAGAGCTGCTGGGAACACTCGCCGTGCTGTCTTTGGTCTACACTGCCATTTCCATTACGACTGGGTTCAGACAAGATTTTGACTCTTGGTAGAAAAGAGAAAATGAGATAGAAAACTTAAACAACCTCAGGGTAGATGTTGATTTGAAGGGAGAAACAAAAGAATAAAAAGCTTTGATGTGGAAAATAAAACCAACTGCTTCACAGCTTTGATGGGAGAATGTCAGGAAACAGCGGCCTAATTGGTGTTATAATCTCTGTGGAAGTGAGGACAAAAAGGAAAATGAGGCTTTGTGGCTTTTTTTGGACTGATGTTGAAGTTAAACACATATTAAATTGAATACGTTTGCATTGCTGCCTTCTTTAACCTTTTTAATTGACTTTTTTTAAAACCTCAGTGAGCCAGTGAGTGTTGTGCATCAACTACATCTTTAAGAGGAAATATAACTGACTAGTTCCCTGGTAACAAGAAGAGACAGAGTAGTAATAAAGTACAGCATGTCCTGCTTTATGAGTATCATCTGTACCGCTGGAACATGTTTTAGACCAATAAAAGTGCTTGGCTGAAAGCTCCCTGTTATGTAATTCAACCATAATCCCACATCTGCAATAGATGGTGTAGGCGTCGTCTGCAGGCTCCTTCACTGCTTTGCAAAGATGTACATCTGTAAATCATGCCGGATGGTAAGTGGAAAGTTTTTTGAATGAGTGAACCTTGCACTTTTTTTTTCTGTGCCCTCTCTTGTGTGCCTGGGCCCGTTCCTGGAGAGTACTTTTTCTGAATTGAGGTTTTTTGAACCCAACCACGGCCCCAACTTTATAATCTTAAAATCTGACATGCAGATTTATTTGTCTGTCTGTCACCGGCTTAAATAAGTCCAAGGTTTACAAACAGAAGTGTAAGACAAATTTACCCGATGGCAGCCGACAGGGTGAGTCTGCAGAACTGCCACGCTGTAAGGGGAACAAAAAGAAGGCTCTGCAGATTCTTCTGACTCTGCAACAATAGAGATATCCATAGTAATTAGGTAAGTCCAATAAAAAACATTGATAGTACTGTAATAAAATAAGCCATGTTCCAATTGAGGCCTCAGAGTCTTAGAGAAAGCCATTGTAATTGAGGAGCAGTTGTGTTATCCCAAGGTCCATTAAAATTTCATCACCCTTGCACATTTCCATGAATGGCATTATTCAAATTATGCTAAATCACATCAGCTTGCCTGCTTGGCGATGCAACGTCGCCCATTACAATGACCGCGGCAAGATTCCCAAAGTCTAGAAAGGGTCTGCATGTGATTTAACAACATGCTTCGTATTCCAAACAGATGCTGAAAAGTATTGGCCCTTGGCCTCTGAATATTGGCAGATGGAGGAGTAGGAATACTGAAACAAATGTTTTATTTTTAAACAATAATCACAGACATTGTTTAGAAAAGAGAATTAACAAGTGTAAACTGAATTATCTTGGGAGGCAGCCTAGACCTGTGTTATTTTTACACAAATATGTGGACACATTTATTCAATCAGTTGTGCTCCATGCAAGTCTTCATAAATTGGAAGAGGGAAAAAAAAGTTTTACATAATTTACTGCTGCATTCATTCACATGTGACTGAATAACATTGACTTTCTAGTGGAAGAAAAAGAAAAAAATAAAAGCAACACAATTGAAGATCCTTTTTCTTTTACATATAAGAGACAATGTTTAAATCCAAACACAGCATGGTCGACACACTGCTGTGTATTTCTGACTCAACACAACACAAGCCAAAAAGTCCAACACAGCTTGACACTGATTTGTTATTGAATGTAACTCAGTTGGCAGTGAAATATTCATCAGGTGGAGGGAGCGCCCTTCCCTGCTCATAATAAGTCACCTGCTAACATGCCGAGTGCTGCCTGTCTTAACCCAGGCCACGGGAACATCATTATGATTATAGCAGTGATTTCATGATACCTGGCTCTTAATAATACATGATAAATAGCTGGATGAAAGGAACAAAGCAGTGTGTAATATTAGGTGACCCTGTGTTATTAGCACTGAGAAGGACCATTAGTGGGTTGCCTTAACCTGCCGTAATGAGGTCTCCCTGCTCTGGGAGAGAAAGGGACGATTGGTGCATACGATAAGAGGAAACACAAGCTGAGGTTGGAGCACATGTACAGCGTGTGTGGTCGCTGTGATTCAGTGACTTACACCTGAGTATTTCACCAAGAAGTCAAGTAATACGCAGATTGATTAAGAATTGGAATAGTACTGAATATTGTTGGGCGATATGAACAAAATCTTTGATCACGTTATAAGTAATTTCATATCACAATAACGGTATATCTCACTGTATATTTTTTCACCCTGTAAATTCAATTAATGGCTTAAAAAGAACCATACTGTCGCATTTGTTCATTTCCTTTTATTTTTAAACTCTGAATTGTTTACGAATTCAAACAAAATGCAAGACCAGTCTGGCAATTCTTTATCATATCGAGTACCGTTGGCAAAAAACTCTGTCAAACTCTTTTGTATGAGAGGAGTTGCTGCAACTTTAGTTTTTGGTGCAGCAGGTGCGCCATGCATCTTTTGGCTCTGATAATGGAGCTTGGCATGTTTCATCTTTAGGTGTTGGAAGAGGTTGCTGGCATTTCGTCCTCCAGCAACGAAAGCCACACAACACTTTTTACACAGTTTTGTTTTTTGATCATTGTCCTTCATTTTCTAAATCCGAAGAATCTCCAGACAACCAATGTCGTGACTCACGCCCTTTTTCGGAACAAGTTCCTCCTCCTCTCCCTCGTGTTGGGTGGGTCGGGCTGCCTCCGTTTGCTCGGTACTGCCACTCATCTCCGTGTCTGCCATGACCACCACCAGTGAAGCTGTTTCTCCTTTGTCTGAACTATGCCAAGCAGTCTGCTGGACACGCAGAGGGACACATTATAGGGAGCGCACCCAAACCTGACCAATCAAACGGAGCGAACAAACTCTGCACAACCAGTAGACACTTTTATACCGTCACACGGTATTTACCGTCATATCACCCAACACTAGTATCAAATGAAATACAACTTTTTTTTTTTTATGTAGTGAACACATATTTGTTATTAAAGTCATCATTTCTTTGTGGTTGACTTACAAAGCTGTCCAGGTATGGCATTTTCTGGTTTGAGCAGAAGTTGGGGCCAGTCACACCATTATGCTGGAGCCAACACATCAGAAGATAGCACTGCTCTGGTGTCATAGGGGGTTGAGTTCAGTTACTTTTGCTTTATTCCCCCTGTTGCACTGTTCATTTTGTAGACTTTTTAATAGGCTTAGTATTTACAAATTTGGTTTGCACCTTTTTATTCTTTTGGGTCAAATAAAAACCCAGAAAAAAAAATCTCTTTTTTAAGCCCTCCTGCTTGGTCCCTAACAGTGATGAACAAAAAACATGAACCCAACCATTTAGCTTTTGCTGACACGGTTCACATCAGGAATAATACCTTAATTATGTGCAGGAGTATTTCAAGTCTGTGTGCGTCATCTGTGGTGAACCTTTACATGCATTGCCGCATAACTCTTGACCTGTACTCATATATTCACAAAACTCCTGAGAATTTTCCAGTTTTCAGAGTAAGCTACATGTCTGAACACGAACAGCCAAGTGGTTCATCGGTTTTTATTTATTCTATCCCCTTTGTGAAAGTTCCTTAAGAAGAGGGGTTGAGCCAAAGCAGCCAGTAATTATCATACCACCACATGAGTGGACCTTTGCTGGGATTTATACCCAGGACCTCTTCATACTTAAAGGCCAGCTCTGAGGTGCTGCTTTGCAGACCTCATTTTACGAGTTTATCTAAACTTGATGTTATGATGATTCAAAGCATGGACCCTGTGTAGTTATGGTTTCCAAAGATAATATTTGCTTGGCATGGGAAGGCCCCATATAAGGATGTGAACCAGGTACCAGCTCATCTTGGGGGTTTAACGCTTACAACAGGAGCATATTATTAAGGTTTTTCAGCCTTCAAATTAATCATGGTAATTCAAGAGGATGCCTTTAACTTTAAGGGATATTCCAGCGTAAATTTAAATTATGGTCAAACACAACATAACACCGAGTTAGACACTCCCTAGAGAGATTAATGTTGCTGACTGCTTGCTTCTCTAGTTATACCAACTTGAGTAATGACCGCATATAGCAAAACACAGCAGTCTACATCTCCATGTGCAAACCGCAACCAAAAAAGCCACTCGTAGCCACAAATAATGCTCAGAACAGCACTTAACTTCATCAACAGTCCCAGCCATAGTGCTAGCCGTCAAACATCTTAAAGCTACGCCTGGTTTCTTTAGCAAAAAGACCGAACACAACTCACCCACTCTCCTCCAGCAGCCGCTTGTTTGTGGAGGAGCCCTGACAAGTCGATCACCGAGCGCAGCGGAAAATTAATTGTATTATTATTATTACTTCTTGGAAATGCAATCAGACTGAGACGCTAAGGCAGAAGAACTACCGCGTCTGCAGTGCACATACACTCACCGGCCACTTTATTAGGTACACCTGTCCAACTGCTCGTTAACACTTAATTTCCAATCAGCCAATCACATGGCGGCAACTTAGTGCATTTAGGCATGTAGACATGGTCAAGACAATCTCCTGCAGTTCAAACCGAGCATCAGTATGGGGAAGAAAGGTGATTTGAGTGACTTTGAACGTGGCATGGTTGTTGGTGCCAGAAGGGCTGGTCTGAGTATTTCAGAAACTGCTGATCTACTGGGATTTTCACGCACAACCATCTCTAGGGTTTACAGAGAATGGTCCGAAAAAGAAAAAATATCCAGTGAGCGGCAGTTCTGTGGGCGGAAATGCCTTGTTGATGCCAGAGGTCAGAGGAGAATGGCCAGACTGGTTCGAGCTGATAGAAAGGCAACAGTGACTCAAATAACCACCCGTTACAACCAAGGTAGGCAGAAGAGCATCTCTGAACGCACAGTACGTCGAACTTTGAGGCAGATGGGCTACAGCAGCAGAAGACCACGCCGGGTGCCCCTCCTTTCAGCTAAGAACAGGAAACTGAGGCTACAATTTGCACAAGCTCATCGAAATTGGACAATAGAAGATTGGAAAAACGTTGCCTGGTCTGATGAGTCTCGATTTCTGCTGCGACATTCGGATGGTAGGGTCAGAATTTGGCGTCAACAACATGAAAGCATGGATCCATCCTGCCTTGTATCAACGGTTCAGGCTGGTGGTGGTGGTGTCATGGTGTGGGGAATATTTTCTTGGCACTCTTTGGGCCCCTTGATACCAATTGAGCATCGTTGCAACGCCACAGCCTACCTGAGTATTGTTGCTGACCATGTCCATCCCTTTATGACCACAATGTACCCAACTTCTGATGGCTACTTTCAGCAGGATAATGCGCCATGTCATAAAGCTGGAATCATCTCAGACTGGTTTCTTGAACATGACAATGAGTTCACTTTACTCAAATGGCCTCCACAGTCACCAGATCTCAATCCAATAGAGCATCTTTGGGATGTGGTGGAACGGGAGATTCGCATCATGGATGTGCAGCCGACAAATCTGCGGCAACTGTGTGATGCCATCATGTCAATATGGACCAAGCTCTCTGAGGAATGCTTCCAGCACCTTGTTGAATCTATGCCACGAAGAATTGAGGCAGTTCTGAAGGCAAAAGGGGGTCCAACCCGTTACTAGCATGGTGTACCTAATAAAGTGGCCGGTGAGTGTACAAGATACACAAGAACTTTGATTGCATTTGCATTATATTCCTTAAGCACCGAAACTTGCTGCTTGCACACCAGGCACACCGGTTTCCCCATTCACCTCCGTGAAAATATAGGAAGAGATCCATTTTTCTGGAAAGTACAACACTCCATGTCCACTTTTCTCTTTTTCGACAAAGAAATTTTGCTGATAAGGGTGTCAGGGCTAACAGAAAAGCGGGTAAAACGACAGGACCAAACGTTACTTACAGACCCTGAAGCTACATTGTTGCCAGCTGCTGTTAGATCCCCTGCAGTGTTGCATCATGTTGTCTGCTCTGACTAAACACTGCGCCCCTAGCGGACAATATAGGTACTGCAGATTTAAAAGAAAATGTAATTCATGAATTTTATGATTTGTTCATATTGCTGACCGCGGGCCATACGTTTGACACCCCTGGTGAAGATGAACCCCAACAACAGGAAAAGTACTAACAGGTCAAAATAAAAGATGGCTGATACAGTGAATAAATGGATAACATTGATGTGTGTGTAGAAGTATTGAGAAAACTCAAGTATGAGTGGACTCACAAGGTATTTTACCAAATTTGCAAGTAAAGGTTTTGAACATTACAGTTTCAAATTCTGAATTTGTGCAAAGAAAACAGCAGTGTCATCTTGAGTTTTGGCCTATATCATGCTGGCTTTTTCAACCCTCTGGTTCCACTCTTACGATGCATGTCACATTTTCTCATTTTGAGTGACTCTAAAAGACAAACTTTGCTGTCTGAAACTGCAGCTGTAAATTAAGTGAAGCTTAGCTTTGCAGAAAACAATCTAAATACGAAGGCGTGGATGTGACGAGTGAGCGAGGTGACATGTTGAAGTATTATTAGTTATTTTTTGAGGTATTGTTTCCAGGCTGAGTCTTCTATTTCCTCCCAAGGGTGTCAGGTGATTGACAGTAGGCTCTGGGTAACAAAAAATTGCCCACTGTGATGAAAACAGAAAACTTAACAAAAAGGAAAAATACAACAAAACAAACACCTGACATAAAGAAAACCTTAAAACGAATTGAGGAAATGCTTGTTTCTGGAGAGTTGAAGTTTCCTTTGAAGCTCCACATATTTGACTTTGTAAAGATAAATTCAAAAATAATGGCCAGAAGATAGACTAGGTCTCCACTGGGATCATGTGAATCAGAAGAAAAGAAGAGGCAGGAACATTACTTGTCAGTCATGTGACAGAGCTTCATTACACTCACACATCACTAAAGCAGATACTCTCTCTGGTGTTTATTACACTGGGCTTCAGGGAGAGATCGATCTAAAATGACAGCTGTTAGGTCCACTCCTGTGGAGAGTGAAGTTGACCTGTACACAGTGATGCCTGAGTGACTGGTCCACCTGAAGTCTATGTGTTCATCTTTCCAGGCTGTGATGCTATCAGAGGCTGTTTGTCTTCTAAGTACATGATGGCTTCTGCTGATTGCATTTTTCACTACGATGAAGAAGATTGTCAAGCGAGGATAGTTCAGACAATTACAGTTACAGAAAAGTCACACACGTGATAATATATTGCAGTTTTTTTAACTTGTGTATTTTTACATTTATATTTGCCGAGTGAGGATATGATATATGGAATAGTCTGACTTTTTCTATAAAAATATCAGTAGTTAATTTAAATGTTATACACTCAAATAATACAGTTGTTGTCCCCCTTCATTCATTGAGTTTAATACTACATTTTGAGAGTAATCAAATAATGAAGAAGAAATGATGAAGAAATTAACCGCACAAAGCAACACTTCCTACTCACTTGTACTGTTGTGAGTCTGCGGGGAACCCAGAGCATAGCACAGCTGTTAAGTACTTTAAGCAGAGCTATTGTTCAGTGAAACAAAACAGCCCATTCAGCTTGGCTGGTTTCCAGAGCACTCCTATAGCAGCCAAATGTTTATCATTGTTTTGACACTGCATAGGATAGGACAGCATGGGGTATGCCTATGGATAGTGGTATCTTATGTGTGTGTATGTGTGTGTGTAATGCTCCAGCAACAAATGAGTATTGTAACAGACTATTTACTATGCTCTTTGACACTTCCTTGTAACATGCAGCCTTATTTTCATTCAGTGTAATTCATCTAAGGGTAGGACTATGCAGTAAAATACGGATATGTAAAATCTGCGTTGTGAGTTTAAAAGGAAGTGTTCACTCCACTTTTGTGTAAAGTAGGCCACATCAGAGTCTCACATGATTGGTGTTTCATCCACTCTTGAATCTTCCAGACTCAAATCAGTCTTTGGAATAACTGTCCAGGACTGAAATGAAAGGTGTTACATTATCTTCTGTGACTGCAGTCCGATAGATGCTGCTGCTTCTCTGATTGTGCTTCCCCCATTCCTCTCTTTACCCATTTAATCTCTTCATCCTGGCAGTGTGCACAGCCAGGACAGTTCTGCTTTATTCTAATTGCATACTTTCGATTAAAAAAGCTTGTTTTCCTTGATTACTTTGATGTTGAAATGGGAGCAGGGGAGCAATTCACATTCATTCGGTGGTATGTTTTTTCCCCCCGCTCTTTTGTGCTAACAGCAGAATTCCTATTTATATATTGGCAGTGGAACTAAATTACTGCAAACATCTCTGTGGGCCAGCCAGGCATAACAGATTGGCAGGGTCTTGTATTATATCAGTGCCCCCTAATGGTCGCTAGGGGTATTACACTATTGTTTATTCCAGGCACGTATGGCATGAGGGGTTGCTGGAAACACAGTGGAATGGTCTCCTGGATTCTTCACTGGGCTGCAGAGATACTTGCTAAATGAATCCCTTGTGACTGAGATTCCTTTGAGTGTACTGCCATGTGCACATATGGAATGGATCCAATCTGCATCGACATACTCTGCATAAGATAACACAGTCCTTAAATTAGAGAGGGAAACTGGCTTTGTCTTTACAGACACTACATTACAAGCAATTAGGAAAAAGATGTTTTTCTTTGCAAATATCTAGATCTTATGATGATTTTTGACCAATAAAAAGGGCTAAAAAATGAGAGCATGAAAAATCAAAGATGTGATTCAAAGGGGAGGGGCTGACATCTTTAAACAGATGAGTATTCAAAAGAAAGACATACCCCAGAGGGAGAAGAGTGGAGTTGAATTGGGATGAAGATAGGAGAATGAGGGTACATTATCAGAGTATGATACCACATGTGACATTTACACTCCTTCAGCTTGGTCAAGGCTCAACTGTCCACACAGCAGATACTGTTGATATTAATGCACTAATCCTAACTCTGCAGAGTTCGGGGGCAAGTTTGCAGCTAAATGCATGGATTGACTTCCCCTGCTGGGATGCGAACATCCCTCCCCAGAGTCCCATCATGCACTGCGCAACACTGGCAAACATCAAGCAGCTTCTGCTTTCTTTTTCCTCATTTGATTCTGTTTCTCCTTTCACAACTGTGAAAAAGTGAGCCACACAAGGGGGTAAAAAAACACAACAAACACTGCCTTATTAGCCTATTAGAACATAGGCAGAGGTCAACTGGGAGTGCTCAACTGCTGAGAGCTCAGTTGGAGCCATATCTTAGAGATTAAAGCAAGGAGTTAAGAGGAAAAAAAGATGTCTTTTTTGCAGTGTTTCTCTTGAACAAATAGATATTGACAGAGACAAAAAAGCATGAAGGAGAAAGCTCTGCAAGCACTAAGCTGTGATTGCTGAAGACATAAATAGTATCAGATGTAGCCGATGTAACAAACAGGTTATGTCACAAAATAAAATATGGTTCTGGGCCTGACTATGAATTAGCTTGATTTATTTCTAAGAATGTCATTTTAAGACTTGACACTAATGAATACACTGAAATGTCATTCATGCTTTTAGAGAAATTGCATCGTTTGCAGTGAAAGAAGAAAATAATTTAAAGCCTTTCGGTTGAAAGCAAATGCCAGCCATCGAAATGTCAAGAAAAGTTCATGATAGCTTAATGTTTCAAAGTGCTGCCCTCCCATCACATTCATAATACAAAAAGGCATCTGTGAGGCTCTTCAAAGAGAGAGTGTTTGACATGATTTCAAATACGCTTTTTACTTTGTGTTATCGCAGTCTTCTCTTGGTAAAATCATCACAGGTCAGTTTTTGTAACAGTCTCATTGATGAGCATCATGTCAAAGCCGGTGCCAGCTGCACCTTGAGATGAGGCTGTTTGTCTTCATTAGCATCCAGTGTTTTCTGTGGTGTTTTCATTAGCAAGGTCCCCTCCTGTATTTGTCAACTGCAGTGAAAGGCCAGAGACACAACAGAATCTGGGTCACGCTTTAATCGTTTTCATGCTATCTCCACCGCTCTCCGAGGTGTTTGTCTTCCATTAGCCGAGGAGAGACTTTCCCACACTGGGGGTTTCTCAAGCAGCTGGTACAGGCCGACCCTACCGGCATTGAGAAAGGAGAGAGGGGGAGAGTGAAGCTGCAAGTTTTGTTTTTTTGGTTCCCAAACATTCCTCGTATCCCACCTGCAAATACCGGCAGCATGATAGCTTTTCTTGTTAAAAAAAACTGGCAACAACAAGATCCAGATGAGGAAAGCTGTAATTTACTTCAGCTAGGGGAAGTCAGGTATTTTTCTGCACAAGTGCACATCCAGTGAAATACAAACACACAATATGAAGAGTCACACAAGCAGCTTTCAATTAAAGCAATAAATGTGTCAAAGTCTGTAGACTAAGGGCCAATTTTTCTGAACAGCATTTTACTGCTTGGACCAGAGGAGATGCTTAGTTTTAAATCTCATGTGACTTGCTTTCGTTGTAACTCCAAAGGTCATTTTGCCTCACTGTAAACATGTCACATGAAATCCACATTATTTCTGACTCAAACAAGAGGTCAAGGAGTTTGGAAAGAGAAAGAAAAATTAGCTTACACAAGTTCTTTATGAACAGGAGTGAAATAATTGCATGTTATGAAGTTCTGTAATTGCTAAATTCATCACACATCTCCTGATAGCAGATCTGCCTACTTGTACTCACATAGTTGTCAGTCTTTACACAACAGTGCCAATGCATAATCATCACACTTTGTGACCTCTAATTAAACTATGAAGAGTAACTTTGAAGAGAAACAGTCTCTCTCACTTCACTCCTGTACTGCCAGTTACAGAAACAGAATATTAAGGTGCTGTCAGCAGTTTAATGAGCCTCTCAGCTTTTGTTTCCATCACTTTTCTGTGGAGCTTCATCTCTACTCCTCGCTCTCAACAAAAAAAAAAGAATGACAGTAGATATCGCTCTCGCTGTGTAAGTTGCAGTGATTAGCAGCAGTGATTTAAGCTCTTTCTTAATTAACCTTGTTCCTTAATTCCCTCTCCCACTAATTTTCAGGAGAGACAATAGAGACTGAGCACTGACTGCTCATGGGACTGGGCCCATTAGAATGGCAGGGTAATAGAGATATGGTATATCTCCCTGTGTGCACATTAACCAAGTCAATAAGAGATAGATGAAGTTGATAACCCTTGATCATTAATCTTATTGAATGTGATTGCACTTTAGGTTTTGGGGTAGGACTGGTGCTTGTTTCCTTGCATGTGAACAGTATACAGTATTAAATACAAGTACAGGGTAATGATTTAAGTAGTGTTACAACATGTATTATCTTATATTATACTACATTATACTATATTATATCATATTATATTATATTAAAATTATATTATATTATATTATGTTAGTAACTTTCATTTAATGGGGATGATAGAAAGTGAAGGCCTTCAGTTTGTCTTATCACTGATTTCTCTGTGTTTTTGTATCCAAGAACAGATACAAGCTTGAAACACAGGATTCATTCATTCATTTATTCCTCTGAGCAGCCAAATATTCTAATGACAAGTCTGAGCAAGTTCATATGAATATATTCCAGTCTATTTATGTATTTATGTATGTTGTATCATATTAAGCTGTACGTATCATATCCCATCATACAGCTTTACCACACTAAATTGGTTTACCATTTCATATTATGTTATGTTATTATATTTTATGATTGATATTGTATCTTCCTCTTTCATCTATTGGTATTAGTAATTGTTTTACCAAACATTTGGGTTTATTTATTTACATTCTTATCACTGTCTTATTTAGATCAGACAATTGTGGATCATTTGCAATCCTAGGAAAGTCTCTTTATCTATCTTATGTACAATGCTATTTCAAAATGATGGCAAAATTACATTTCTTTGATTTAATACTTTTTTATGGACTATAATATTTTGATGCTGACATTGGTCTTGGTGGGCTTTGATTAAACTCTTATTACTTGCAGGTACTGATAAACAGGTATTAGTTAAACTTGTCAACCAATGAACTCCAGTTTGTTTTTTGTTTCCCATTTCAGTTTTTCCTCTCTTTCTGTCTTTCCTCTCCACCAAATTCAACTGATATCATTGATAGACTTATAGCAACATGTCAAAAAAGTATTTCCTTTTTGTCTTAATACGACCATGGAAGCTCGTGGTTATCTATAAATGGGTTCATTTGTAAAAAGCCAGGCTCACTGTTCTTAGAGAAAGCCAAATGGCTCCATTGAATTAAACTGCAGTGGTAGTAATCTCTGCTTGCTTAATATACACCAACTTGTAGTCTCTTGGTCAAAGGAACATTTATCTTTACTGTGGCGGTTTGTCGAATGGAAGAAAAATGGAGGGGGAGTGGCCAGCTAAATACCAAGACAATGTAGTGGCTGTGTGTTCATGAAACAAGCTCTATGCTCAACGATTGTGGACTGAATAACTAGAGGCAGGGCATCAGAATCAGGTCAGTCTGTTTACTGATCAGCCCAGAGCCTCCAGAGAGCAACACAGGCTAACAGTGTTGAGCAGCAGAGTGGGGAATGTTTTCAGAAACCCATGGAGGTACCCACTGCCCAGGGCCAAACTCTGCAGCATAATTTCTAAATGCAATAACCATAAGTCAGAAAAGTTAAAATTCATGGATACAGCTGTCAATGCCAGGAGTATTCATGTATGCATTAGTATAAGCAGTGCTCATATCTTTTGTGTGAGTGCTTCAGGCTGTTCCTCATCCATCCATGCGTTTACTCATCCACTTGTGCACTTGCAAACAAGTTGCTAGTACATTATTTAATACAAATTAGAAGACAGTGATGCACTTTGGCTGCACTGCTTGTTCAGCCTGATGAAGAGCTGCAAATAAAGGAAGTTAAATGGACCTCTGGCACACTAACAGTCTTCGACGATTCCCATTTTGTAAAAAAGTGCAAATGTTTCTACTCTACCGGGAAATTCTTTTGACACTGACCTTAAATTACTACATTCTGGCATGATATTAGGTGTAGAAAATCATGTTAAATATAATGGCCCCAAGCCATCTGTATGCTATGCTAATACAGCAGAGACAATTGTTAAATTAGACTCAGATTTTTTTTTAAACTTAACATTTGGGAAACAGTACACATTAAACACTAGCTGAGTATCCTTGATATGCAAGTAAACTTAGTTTGCTTGGACATTAGTCACGAACATCACTGACTTTGTTAAACCTGATGGTAAAATCATAGAGACAGCATGAAGATAAATATTTATTTTTCAAATAGTGTAGAGTTATTCAAAAGCCACAGACAAAGTCAAGATTTGAATTTATCTTAAAAAAACATTTTTGTTACTTCTGTGATATGTGACTTTTCTGAGCAGATCATAATAAAAACTCAATCTTAAAACAATTGCCTCATTCAGAAAATGTGGCTTATGAAACCCTCTTCATTTCTAGTGAGAAATATTTCAGGGGAAAATATAAATGTGTGCACTGTTCTTTAAGGTTCATTCAGGGATTCATTAGACTAAACCAACCTCACCTGGTTAAACTGTTTGCATTTACTAATCTACTAAAGATATGGATTTGTGTGTGTGTATGCGTCTGTGTGTGTCTGCTCTGCAAGAAGGTGCTGATTATTCCTATTAGAACTGTGTTGTGTTTCAGGCACAGTAACAGCAGTGTCATCTGCCAATGTTATTTCATGCTCTGTTGGGTGTGAATCAATTTCATTCCGGGGAACAATTACCGAAGATTGCAGATTTTTTTCCCCCCCATCCTTCCAATCATAACATTTGAATCGAATCATTATGCGCTGCTCAACATACAGAGCCAGAATGAAAACACATCAGCAGCTCAGTGCTGTTATCATGTGATGTCTATGACAGGCTGTTTCTGAGGGAAAACTACTTGTTTGCAAACTGTGATGTTTGTCTCAGTTTCACTCGTTTAAATTCGGTAGATATTCCTTCTGCTGTTTTCTGCTCCTTTCTCTTGGTCAATAAATTCCACACATGACCTTAGTGAACTCTGACTCAGAGTGTTTACATTGTTGGGGCAGGATAGTCAAACAATACACGGGATGGATGGAAGATAAAGCCTCACACATTCTCCCATTACTCACATAAAGAATGTCGGCCCCTCAGCGATGGACGGAGAGCCTGGATTCCTGGAGACTGGCTTTGGCCAACACTGACAGTTATTTCTGGCCTCTGAATTGGAATGAGGCAGGCTGGAAGTTGGGAAGTCTACCCAAGGAGCCATGCTTCAGCAGTTAAAGAGGCTGATCAGATTGAGGTTGTGCACCTTCACTAACGTGGAGGTGTCATTCATCCCAGCTACCTCTAACTGGAGGAAAGGGTCCATCCATGGATCACTAAACAACATAGACAGACAGGCTCACTCCAATTAGAACGAGCTGCAATGTATCCGCCCTGTCTTTCACTGGCTTTTAGTTTGACATGGACGAGTATATGCTTTGGGTTAGGATGAAGGTGAATGTAGTTAGACTGGGATCTCTTCAGGCACAAGTCTTTAATTTGGTGAAAGGGTTTTCTTTGTTTTTGGTCTTTAAAATAAGTTTTCAAATAAATTTACTATTGCTGTATTCAAACTCCTAAAAACATAATTTTGTGTGAACGCAGATGGCAAAAACTTTCAAACCAACCTTTCAAAGAATGTTTTCCTGCCAGCCATACAGTTAAGTTTCCTCATGTGTGAAAACAACTGGAAATACCCGGGTAGATTCACTGCAAATAAGCTGGTGAAGTGATAACATTTATATAACCCAGTTAAGTATCATGCAACATGAGCAATAAAATGTTAAAGGTTGAAGAGAGTAAACTGTTTTAAAGATGAATACAACAAAAATGCCTGCACCTGCTTTTTTAACATATAGCACTGGAAATAAAACTAGGGTAATGAATTGATTATTCAAAAATTACGATTAATCATTGAGGTTGGTATTTCTCTGATTATAACATGAAATTTCTGTAGCCAATAACACTTTTTCAACACTTTTTAAATAGGGATGGGAATCAAGAACCTCTTCTTGTTGAGAACCAGTTCTAAATGGTTCCATCGACATGGTTTACATTAATCTCAATTATTCCCTAAATGATTCCTTTCTTCCGTTCATCAGCCTCTGCTGCTCTGTCTCAGCAATGGCATGGAAGGTACGTATGTCCTGTGTTGACATAAGCACAATGCTTCACAAACACTTCACCTGACCCAAAAAACCCTCGAAATTTTGCATGCAACTCCACCTTAGTAATGTCCTCTTCTTGGGGATCCAGAATATGGTCACCCTAATTTGACTTAATACCACCAAAGTAAACGCTGTACAAATAGTTTGTCGTTTGATTATGTTAGACTACTGTTATCAGACTCAATAAAATTTTGAGTTAACAGTGAAAACCTATAGTCTACTTTTTTAAAATCAAAGAAAGGCATTGATAAGGGAATCGTTAGAGAATTGAATCAATAAGCAGGATCGCTAATGGCATCGATATGGATGAAATCTTATCAATCCCCATCCCTATTCTTAAAACTCCATTACTCTACATAACATTACATAATATACAGTATGTTTGATCTGCTGTCATTAACGATGGGGAAAACGTGTTTTTGTTTAAGAGGATATTAAAATTGTTCAGCAGCAGCCAGACTCACAAGGCTGCCTGCAGTGTCCGCAGACACAATTTACCATTCTAATCCACCACATGAGCACATATATTGGCTAATACCATTTATTTCAAAATGTCATTAACCAGCCTGATTGATCAGCCCAACCACTTATTAAGTCTATTGCCAGTGCTTTGCCAATTACTGGATTCATTTGATCACATCACAAGGGAATATCAATCTACCTGACAAGGCCACCCAAAATCATCATAAGTGGTTTCCTGGTGAGCATTTGTTTTTGTCCCCAACACTATTAGCAGTGACAATTACTTGTTGTTTAAGTGGGCAGCAGAAATGGTCAGAGGTCCGCCAAGTTTTTGCTGACTTATTTTTGGCAGTCTATCATAAGCCACAAGATTCCTACTTGTTTATTTTAAGGAGAGCTATAATTCTTCTAAAGCTCTTGCATTCACATAAAAGATTGGTAACTTAAATACCGATAACTGTGGGAATTTTCCGCTATTACATGCTGCTTTATGATAAAATGTGGTTCAATAGTGTTGCATTTTACAGTGCCTGTAAATGCCTGCAAAGCAGAGACTGCTGAAATTGATTCAGGAGGAAACAATCATTTCACTCCCTCTACAATATTATCTGTTTTAGCATCATGTTGTTCCTTTGTCACAGAGAAACAACTCGGCCTGTACAAACCCAGATTCAGCCCAGATTCCTCTCACTCTTGTGCCTTGTGAACTACTCATCCCTTTTCAGTCCGTATCACAGATACCTGACTGCTTACAACAAGGCTGCGATCATCAAGCCCTGATTTTTGACTCAGGTCTCCACACTATCAAATTGACAAAGAAGAAGCTATTTCTGAGAGAGGCACAAGAGCATAAAAAGCAGAGGAGAACAAGAATCGATAGAGATTGTCTTTTTGCAACATTGGGGTTGTGTGATGTGGTGTATTGTGGGCTACATCAACCTTCCACCCACACTTTGCAGATCTAAACAGACACTGTGCTTGTTGTTGGTCGTGTTGCCACAGCAATATTTCTATTTATCCTGCGAGACAGCTATACAAATAGATGAAGTGCAACAACATGACATTTTCTGTACTTCAATTACTTTGCGGGGCTGGGCCACGTGGGTTAAAAGCCAACAAACCATAACTTTCTCTGACATTTCCTCCCCCCACAGTGACCGTTGATGGATTCTCCCTGACAAAGCATTCATTATCGCAGAGAACAGAGAGTGCACTAAAATCTCTTCTCTTTTCTTCTCCCCTCCATCCTCTGCCTAGCTGTCCAAATCGAGATGAACTCAGCTGCAGAAACAGAATGGGCTCCACACTCACCGTCAGAGGGGAAAAGCACTGAATCGCTGCAGGATATTCACAGGCAATCAAAAAGTATATCCTTATTGCAGGGCAGCTATTATGGTGCAGTGGGCAGAGGGGCATATCAAATGGAAACAACTGTTCTGTGCCAGCTCCGATTTGATCCCGCTACAATGAGAGAGGCTGCTATGGAAATGAGCTATGATGGCATGCCAATGAAGATTAGCCCCCTTTTATCATTTATCTCAGAGTTCAATGCTCTGAGGCTCAGTGGTCCAAGATGCAGCCAGTCACCTTACATGGCAGGCAATTCCCCAAACCCCCAAAAGCCCTCCGAAGAGATGTAGCTGAAATGTTAAATTCAAACAGCTCAATCTGTAAAACTCTTTCCGTAAAGATTGAGTACGAGCTCTGGACAAAAATAAAACCTCTGCTGCCTTTTTTGATTTTTTATGTGACTCTTCAACCTGCAAGGATGCAAGCAGGGACAATTTACATGCCGAGGTTGGTGTCTTAATCACATCTCTCTTGCATGGCTGCAAACACACATATTCACTCAAACGCACACAAACATGTCTTATCCACCCACGGGCAAGAGACTGATTGTCTGATAGCATTAGCATTCCTGTCCGACCCTGATAGAAGCAACACAGGAATCAGGCTCACTTCAAGGGGTTCACATCACAGACAGAAACACATCCATTCACCATGGACAGGCTAATAAATAAAAGAGTAACCCTGTGGCAGTAACAAGCCCATAAAGTATAGCTATGTTTTACAAGTGAATGAGACGGACGGCCAAGGAAGATGGTTACCTTGCGGGAGCTGGGCACTCTGTACTTTACAAGGCTGAGAGGAGAGTGTGACTCTATCTAATATTGAGCTCTGCAGCAGATTGACTCTCTTCATCATGATATGAAAATCTCAGTGCATCACAGCATGAGTTATCATGTTTACACTGGAAAAGTGTTTTACATTTTAAAGGTGAGGTACATATTTCTTGGGTATGAAGTACACGGTGGTCTGAAAAACAGACATCTCAGTCAGTTGCTTCTTCACAACCTACGAAAGCGAATACACATTAAATTGTTGAATTATGGCTACAAAGGGATGTAACAGGCCTTTCAAAGTCAGTTTTACAGATACTAGTAATGACACACACTTTATTTGATCATTTGATTCATTTAAGAAATGAACTATCAAAACAGGAAAAATTGGACTTGTGTGAAAATTGGACGTATTCATTAGTGTCCTTGGACAAGACAGTACTGATGGGTTTCACTTTATTTGCTCGGAGGTTCATCTTTCATCAGTAAAAAAAGGTCTAAATTATTTAATTCCTCCTCGTCTGTTCTTCTA